GTCAGACTAGTTTATGATCTAACCATTTTGCTCTCCTTTCTTACAGCAAGTAGAACCAACCCCAACAGCTGATCTAGACCGTAGTAATGACAAGGTGTATGAATCCACAATTCACGTTGTGAAGGCAATAACTGCTCTCACTCATGATGTGAAGGAAGGACAAGCACACGTCTACCTGGACCATGTAAAGAAGGTTGGTCATGAACTTAGGGATCTGCTGGCAACAGTGGACACTCTCATGACAGCCATCCCTCCCTCATCACACAGAGAGGTTAGTGCAATTGTGGAACTGGGTAGGGGTACTGAACTGCATTTAGCTAAAAAAAAAATTGTTTATTGAATAGAAAGTGCTTTGGTATTAATGCATAGAATGAAGACTATGATTTCATTTTTTCCATTATTAAAACAGAGGGCTTGGTTTTGATAAAACCATGTTTCCCATCTTTTTTGCTGTAAAGAAAGTCATGCAAATAGTAATGGTTTACACAGAAAATAGATAAAGAAGAGGGATTTTACAATGAAGTATGAAGTTCATGTATCTGTGACATGAACAGTTTAAAGTTAATAAAATAACTACCAAAAAGAAATTAATTTATGGGAATGAGAAGAGACTTTCATTTGTGCTGCTTTGTTAACAGGTTGAATTGGCTCATAAGGTGCTATCCAAAGACATGACAGATCTGGTACAAGCATACAAACTAGCCCAAAAGTATGGCAGCACAACACTGGATGAAGAATACCGAAAGTAAGTGATTTTCCGAGAGGAATTATCATAGACTGTTTTAGAACCAATAATAGTAATACCTTAGTCTTGCCATAGATTGATATTGCCAGCCATATTAATACACATTTTTTCTTTATTTCAGGCGAATGTTGTCCGCTGCTCATGTCTTAGCCATGGATTCCAAGAACTTGCTGGACGTCATAGATGGTGTGAGAATTAGACATGGCCTAGCTACCTACCTGCCTTCAAAACATTCCGCTGTGTGATCTTATCCATGGCAGTCAACACCTGAACTCGCCTTGAATGCATGATGGATAACTGTTGAAGAGCCCACAAATGACAAAGCAGTTCATATGCGAATATGAGATGTATATCTGGTATTCACTCTTTTCTTATTTGTGTGTTTGATTACTGGAACCATCATCAGGAAGCTTTGACCAAGTAAAATGCTTGCTGGGAAAGCATTCATGAAATCCAAAGACTATACTTTTTTTTTTTCTTTTCTTTTCTTTTTTTAAGCACTGTTACAAGTGAAAAAGGAAACCAAGGTGGGAATCGGTGTTTTCTGATCTCCATTGATGATTACACTGAAACTAGAGTGCATTTTCTCTTAAGATGTCTGTGGAGCAGATGAAGGCCCCAACCCCTTTTATTACTTAGGTTGGGTGTGTATATTATAGTCAGTACCACTAGACCTTTGTGTGATTGCTACCGTTATCTGGAGGTGATGACCCAGGTTGTTGTCCGCAGGGTATTTCTATTCCATAAGACTCATCACAAATGGGTGTCTGATGTAAGATAATGAGAAACTACTGCTGGAAGTGCTCCCCTGGTGTATGTATATGACATTCAATTAATTAAATCTCATGTATATTATAACAACAATACTAGATAACATGTCTTCTTATCTGTCTTAGGCAGAATTCATAAATGATTCATGTTCATTTTTGCTTCCTTTTTGGGTAGCAGGTAGGCTTTTCCGATGGCAACTATATGCCAGTAACTTCAGTTGTCAGTCGTAAAAAATGATTAATAGTAATAGAGAAAATATTCCCCCCCCCCCCCCAACAATACCACCACTACCCCAAGAAAATCAAATAAAAGCAATCAAACTTGTACTTCCAAGACAACTTTTAAGGTATTTTCATATGGAACTTCAGGGGCAAAAGTTTTTAAAAAGTGGTCACCAATCATTTATGAATGTCCCATGTTGATGGCATGTCTTTTGTGTCAAAGCTTGCTGCTCTTTAGTCATGAAGATCCTAAGACACCAGATTCTCTAGGGTCATTGATTTAGCTGTAGTAGAATCGCCTTTTGTTACTCAGAGGAGAAAAGTGATCAAGACTTGCTTTAATTCCAGTGTGAAGTTCTTTGGACATTTTTTTTTTTGCTCCAATGAGGGAAATGCGCTTCTCGTGTTATTTTTTTTTTTGTGGCAGAGTTGCAAGCTCTTGTATGTACTCTTTACTCACTGTCTGATATATATATATGAATATGTACTATATGATTTTTGTGGTGTAAATATTAATCTAGTTCACTGCGTGTAATTATTTAATTTGACGGTCTCAAATGAATAAAGAATATTGACCCAGTACTTTTTGAATTAATAAACCTATGGCAACATTTCAGTATGGTTAACTGCAACAGAAAAAGTGATGTAAAAAAATAACAATCAGTATATTTTGTGGTTTATTATCAATCAGATAACAAATATTATCCTACTGTCAAACAATGATAAAAAATATATTGTACTGTGAACTGTTTAGCAATACTAAAGTCAGTAGTACATTGCTTACATAAATCTTGCCTATCATTTTACATTTGTTTTGCCATTAAGTGATGAAAGATCCATCAACTTAGTAGTCTACAGTTAAATTCACATGTTATGCATTCAAAATAGTTCAAGAAAAATACAGTATGTATGATGAACTTATGGTCAGGGGTAATGACTAAAACTTTTTTTAAAGGTCTAGAAGCTGTGCATTTCAAATTACCTTCTTTACCAGTGCAAGGCACTTCTATTTAAACATACTTTGTGCCTAATTAAGGAAGGCTACTTAGTTTAAAGGTTTAAATATTGTCAAAAACAGTAGAGTAAATTATATAACTACATAATTTTGCATTTGGTGTACTCTACCTCATTTCCATCTATTTTTTAATGATGACCATTTTAATATATACTCCATATACATGAAATGTAACCCAGTCAAAGCAAGCTGACTTACTATTCCTTTCTTACTGTTTCATTTTATCATTAGTTAATATTAATTAGTTATTGTTTGTTTATATTCATATGTTTGTATATACTGCATGACACAGACTGAATCACATAAATCTATACACTAGATGAGCAAATTTACTGATACTATATATATTCTGAGTATTTTTATCTGTAATATTAGTATAATAGACACTATTTCTGAAAAAAAAATCACATACTGCAACCAAAATACTGACCATGTATGTGTGCCTAGGTAACATTCACTACACTTAATCTGCCATGCCTAATTTAAGGAACAAAAGAAAATTTGATAGCATTATCCTGGGAGCCTGAAGTGTAGATATAATTGAAGATAATGGTTCTTTATGCAATGTCACTTTTAGTCAGTGATTTACTTTGTAAAGTGAGGCATTATAGATGAGCTTTCTTAGTTTATCAAAGGGGCAATTTTGTTGATGATAAAGACTAACTATTCAGGACACATTCTTATTGATATAAAATTGAGCTTCTGTAGACAACACAGTTCTTGAGGGAACCTTATAGCCAGACAGATTTTTCTGTGGCTGCCACGCCTTCATCCCTAAGTCTGGATATAATGGGAAGGTAAATATCACGAGTAAAAGGCAACACCATTCCCCTGCCTTGGATCTCACCGTCCAGCACCATCTTCGTGGCAATGGCTGCTGGATAACCCACTGTCTTTGCCATCGCAGAGTATCCTGTGGGGTCTCCATAACACACCAAGTTAATTCCTCGGAGCTCCTTTCCGCCATCGGGCCAGTTGATGGTCACTTCATGTCGCAGCACAATCAGATCACGTTCTCCAGGTTCTGGAAATGTATAATTGTATTGGAAATTATAATGCTGAGAAGAATGCATTCATATTCTAGTTCTCAGTTGATGATTTATCGAGAGATACAACAGATAGATAGACAAAACTGTCAAAATTACAGAATATGGTACAACCTACCAATAAGTCCTGCATTTCATTATTTGGTAAAATACTGTATTAGTAAAAGTAAACAAAATTACATTTTAAACACAGTCAGACGCATACTCACGTAGCGCTAGCCTCTTCGACAGGTAGTGGGAGAGGGTATCCAGAGGAGTGACACATTTAACCACAGGGTCATCAGTCAGCAGTCCCAGAGCCTCAATACCTGCCAGTTGAGAATCGTTGCCAACACGTTCAGCAACAAGAGCCCTCAAGTTGTCAGGGAAAATATTAGCATCCATCTGGCCCAGCAAGGTGCATATCAATTGTTTCTGAAAAAAAAAAGTTTTGTAATGAAATGCATTAGAATACAAACAATCAGTAGTAGAAAAGGTCTTAAAACACTTAACTCTCCATCCACCACCTATAAGCTGGCCTATCATTAATAAGTCGTTTTCATTGCTCAGTTAATGTGGGCTCCATTTCCATTTCAATCTTTGAGTAGTAGCAGGAGCTTCATTTTCGTGACTTTTTTTTATTCTTTATTGACCTAGCCCACAGGCCATTATCCAAATGTCCTACAACCAGGTCGAATCTTAACATATTACATTTTATTTCATATTTCCTTGATCCTTGTAGCTCCATCCCTCTTGCATCCACTTACCCATGTAATGTCAGGTCCTCCATGATGTAGCATTGGATGTGGGTTGGGATCAATAAGTCCTAATTTAATCAGAGCTTTCGCCACCTCAGAGAAGCCCTTGTAGCGCAGTGTACCCCTCAAGATGGTCTGGGCTTCTGTGATACCATACAGGTTACCATAAACTGTTGAATCCCGGTTGGGGAACCCTTCAAGGGCCAAACCAGGAAGGAATGAGAAGTCTTCGGTTGTGTCCAGAAGAGAACCTCCTGGTGTGACCTCCACAACCTGCAATTCTTGTTTGATTAGCCTTGCTATAAAAAAAAAAGCTACAGAAAATGTTTAAAGTTATAAATAATGGCTAAAGGACTTCACAGAATGCAGAAAATTAAGATTTGAACAATCCAATAACTTGTGGCATATCAATATTACTTTTCCTATATTTTCCAGTATATTGAAGTAAATAGGTTAACAGAGGAG